ATGTTTTATCATACACGCTATGATTATTATTATAATTTAAAGTTCAAAGGACTAAATATTCCGAAGCATTTGTATCTTTTAATTTCGGACTTGTATTGCCCATTTGGTGCAAAATTAATTCTAAATCAGATAAAGATATATATGGGAGCTAAATCCAAATCTGAACCGATCTCGATAAAATTTGGCAAAGATATTTCTGAGCTGTATTTGATATATTTCCCTGAATATCGTTGTTACGGAGTGCATATTACGGCTGTGGGTAAGAAATATGACAAATCGGATGAACAGTATATATGGGAGCTATAGCTATATCTGAACCGATCTTCACCAAATTTGACATACTAGCTTCCCAATTCGGTCGTGAGTGCCAAATTTCATCCCATTTGGGCAAATATTAGACGTTTGGTGCACAATCAAAGGTAAATCGGGCGAAGTTATATATGGGAGCTATATCCAAATCTGAACCGATCTCGATAAAATTTAGCAAATGTATTTCTGAGCTGTATTTGATATATTTCCCCGAATTTTGTTGTTACAGAGTGCATATTACGGTGCGGAGGACAAAAATAACAAATCGGATAAACAATATATATGGGAGCTATAGCTATATCTGAACCGATTTCGATCAAATTTGGCATACTTATTTTTAGGTCCAATCTGATCGTACGCGAAAAATTCCATACTACTCGGACTGATATTACACGTTTGATGCACAATAAAAGGCAAATCGGACGAAGATATATATGGGAGCTATATCTAAATTTTGACCGATTATCTCCAATTTAAATAGGGTTCGTCCTTGGGCCAAACAAATGATTTGTGCAAAATTTCATCATAACAAACATTTCATCGTAACAAATAAAACTATATATTGGGGATTTGTATGAAATAAATCATAACTACTATTTTTGTTATTGATTGAATATTATGTCTTTAGAACAGCTTAATTTGAAATCGGATGTAACAAATATATTGAATCTATATCTTAATCTCAATCTTTTTCTACTAAATTGGACACGGCCACAAGTTCTGCACAAAATTTACCACAATGTGGAACTATATAAATAATTGCTACTAGCGTTTCTGCGTAATAGGAACTAAAACTACCAAAATTTCCAGAATTAATGGAAAAATGACTATACTGAAAAATAGTGAAATCGGGGTTAATATAGGGACTATGAATTAAAACTAAGAATTAACAAGTAAAAAAGCAGTAAGTTCGGCCAGGCCGAACTTTGAATACCCTCCACCATTTGGAACGAATTTGGAAATTTTCAAAAAATAAAAACCCGTTAAAAATTTTGTTAAAATCTTTAAAAATACCGAATACAGCCATTATTTTGGTGTCTCTACGACGTGTTGTTTGTCATAAGCCATTACCATATTCAAATTCGAAACATGAAATAAACGATGAATAATGTAGCTAAAACCATCAAAATGTCGTATATAGGGAGGTGCCGTTTTATCGGAGCTATAAGAAGACATGGACCTGCATAGACAATTTTCTGTCACAGGCTGTAGCATCCGACAATCATCTCAAACAATTTCGGTATTGTACCTAAACTCGTCAAAATACCGAATATAGGAAGGCACTGATATATTGGGCCTATACGAAGATCTGGACCTGCATACACAATTTTCTGTCACAAACTGTAGTTCCCATTACGAACTCTAAATACGTAATTTGAAACAATTCCGGTGAATAATGACGCTAAAATCATCAAAATACCGAATATCAGGAGGTACCGTTATATGGGGGCTATACGAAGACGTGGACCTGCAGTATCCATTTCGAACTTCAAATACCAAAATTGAAACTAATTCGTTTAATAATGTCGCTAAAATCATCAAAATACCGAATATAGGGAGGTACGTTATATGGGGGCTATACGAAGACGTGGACCTGCACAGACAATTTTCTGTCTTAGGCTGTAGTATTCATTACGCACTTCAAATACCAAATTTTAAACAATTCCGGTTAATACTGTCGCTAAAATCCATGTGTGTAAAATTTTAGCCTTCTATCTCAATTCGTTCAAAAGATAGCCTGATTACAACAGACAGACAGACAGTCGGATATGGCTAAATCGACTTAGAATTTTACGCTGATCAAGAATATATATACTTTGTTGGGTCTGACATGAGTATTTCGAGGAGTTACAAACGGAATGACAAAGTTAATATACCCTCCATAGTATGGTGGAGGGTATACAAATGGGAGAAGGTAGATATAAAAAATTTTGGCAAAAAAACGCGAAATTCTGTTGAGGGTATAGTATAATAAGCGAATACTATCTAATCCACTAAAGTTTTTAAAAAAACCAGACTGGCTGGTATACAGTGAAATTTAAAAAAAAAACTAATAAATTTTAGTAAAATAAAAAATAATTTTTACAAAGAAAACATTTTGCATTTTTTTAGTGTGCATATTTTGTTTAGAGATGAACAATAAAAATTGATCCATAATATTGTTTCCTTTGACAGAAGTATTTGACGTAGAACGAAAATTAGAATACAGGGTAAGATAAACAACTGCTTTAAAGTCAAACGCAATACTTTTTACATTTTTTTAAAATTTGATTGAATGAAAGCAAAAAATGTCGTAAATAGCATCAAATGTTAGAATATGTTTAGATTTGTTCGAATTTGTCGCCTTTGGCACGAATTATGGCCTTCAAACGGCCAAAGAAATCGTCACACGCTGCCCGAATGTTTCTCTGCATTATTTTGATTCATTACTGGTGAAGCGCTTGCTTGAGGTGATCGGCACTTTGGTATTTGTTAGTGCCAACCTTGCTTTCCAAAATACTCTAGACTCAATATTCCAACGAATTGGTATCCGGAGATTTTGGTAGTCATTGTGCGCTGCAAATTGAGCGAGGAACCTCATTTTGTAACCATTCTTTGGTGGCGCGTGTTGAGTGCGATGGTGCTGAGTCCTGTTGGAATGTCCAAGGTCTGCGGCCAAAATGGCCCATACCATCACCATGGCCGGCGCTTGAGTTATGGTGGCCAACGGAAGGTGCACATTTTCAGCTGACCTCTTTGGCAAGTAAACACGATAATTTTATTTGTTTACTAACTTCTGGACAACGAATGTTTTCGGAGAAAACCAGTTCACCTCTATCGGTCAAGCGAGGAGCAACTCTTTAGCTCTTTTGAGTCCATTTTCTTTCTGTAGCGGTGTAAGTTCTTGAATTTTTGGAATTTCAATGGCTTTACCCCAAGCTTTTCAATATTTGGCGAATGAAATATTGCGTTATGTTTAACTTACGAGCCATTTTTCGGCCACTGCGAGGCGGGTTTCGATCAAGTACCTTCTTTATTTTTCGAGCCATTTCTGCTGATGATGGTGCTTTCTTCCGTACACTTCCTTGATGTCAGGCTTCCCTACAAGTATCATGGTTACGAGCGATGGTACGAGAAACAAAAGATTTATTCACATTTAAATGCTAGATTGCTCTAACGATAGCAACTTGTGGTTTTGCAGCCAAATATAAAGAAATCACACTATCACGCTTGAATTCTATCACGAATAACTTTTTTCTGGAAAATTCTCACCAAAATGCTTTTGTACGCTTGTATTTTTTTTTCAATTTTTTCCATTCGATAAAAAAAAATTATACTAAATATTATAAAACATGTTCGCGGTTTTGCAACTTTAAGATCAATGGAAACAGTGACTTCTCTTCCTTGGTGTTTTACAGTGCAATTGGATAAAGACTATTTTTGTGATTTATTCCATTGTTCTAAAATGATATTTTGTAGATTTAGATTTTTAATACATTCTGGTAGCTACAGTAGTATTTTATGAAAAAAATATTTTTTTTTTTTTTTGAATATTTTGACTTGTTACGATCCAATTTAAATGTAGCTTTAACCACATTTAAAAAAACCGACAAGACCATTTCGGTGACTCATTTGAGGATTTATATTTCCGACCAAATAACCGTAGTGTTGGTATCAGTAATACTGTGGAAAATATTATTATGCTTAAAATGCACGGATTCCTAGGAATCTTAATCCGAAAATTTCCAAAAATTTAGATGAGGGAGTGTTTATGTCTACTTTGTTAATCTACTGGACTTTTTTGTGTTGCACTGTGTTATTGTAATAATTTTTAATTCAAGGGTATATTAGTGAGACGTTTCTCTGTTCGAGTAACTTGTATTTTAGACTCAACTTGTAAACGTGGCAGTAAACATATGACATAAAAAAGTAAATAAGTTTATATAGTCGGCCGGACCCAGCACCTAACACTCCAAGGTTTGGAAGAGCTTGTTGTGTTTATCAATATAAAAAGATGAATATAAAAACACATTATTTTTGTTTAATGGAGTTGTCATATCGTTATTTTCGTATTACTACTCCATTAAAAATAATGTGTTTAATGACATATCGCTGGATTCCAAATTAAATTAAAAAGTAATAATAATTGACCTAAAAATCTGCATTTTACTTTTGTTAGACTTCCAAAACTTGGTTGGGAAGATTTTTTCAATGCTCGAAGTTGTTACAAGGAAGGAAATTCGCTTAAGATTTTTTCTGAAATCCTTATTAATATTGCTGGTAGAAAATTTTGCTTAAAATATAATAAAAACAAATGTCTGCCATTCAAACGGAGCCTACATCTACATTTAAATCACTGCTTTCATTGCATGAATTTAATTTTTTATTAAGAATACATATCAGTTGAAACGATTTTTATTGAAAAGTACGATTTGTTTTCAATTGAATTTATTAATTTTATAATACTAAACACTAAATGTTTGCAATTTTATTTTTAATCGTTCGAAGGTCACGTCATCCTCTCAGATTGAAATAGCCTAAAATTAACACCAATTTGTAGATGTGTTGGCATCACTTTTTCCTAACACTCACACAATTTCCCTTTATTACATTCTCTCCTACTCATTCTCTCAATCTCTCTCTGTTTATCTCAAAAATAATTTATTCTCTCTTATTCCTTGGGTTTAGTATGTTTCTTCAATTTCGTTTACCTTTGAAATTTATCCGGTTTTTTGTTATGTTTTGTGTCGAATGTCTGTTGTATATTTTCAGGCGTATGACATCAATATTTTACATTTGACATTAAAAATTCATGAGCGTATACTCTACACCATATACGTGGTTTTTCATATATAGCCGAATAATGCGTTTCTTTTGATTTCACTTAACTGTATCGACATCGATTTTCACTTTTGAAGATTTAAAAAGGACTTTTTAATACTAGAAAATGAAAGCACTTGGAATCGTTGTTTGGTTATCGGCAATTCTTAAAAAAGAAACAACATCAAACAGACATACATATAAATGATTGAATCAAGAAGCTCCGTTCACGTATTGCTTTATGGTAACTTTATGGTAATTTTCGACTTTTTATTGGTGATTTTCAACTGATATCAGCGAAGAAAAATTCACACGCACAACCGGATGTTATTCACGCGTTTTCAAAACACACATGAAAATCGTGGTGCACAACACGGAATCCAGGAATATGAATAGACGATGTGTTCAATAGCTGGAATGTTATCGTTTTTATGACTTCTTCGCTTGATTTTTCGAGAAAATACTTTTTAATAATTTAATTTTTTCCTTCTTATGTTGAAAATTCACTGAAAACTTCCTTAATTTCGTGCACACGTTGGGTAATTTAGATAAAAATCTCTTCGTGCGTTTTCTTCTTCTCGCCAACCACAGACACACAATGTTCGTGTGAGTCCTTACAATGTTCACACGGATGGATGGATAGATAGATGTGGATGTGTGGAAAGGTGAGCATGTATTTGCTTACATTTCTTGTTGCTTTATTTTATCGTCGTCTCCTTCGTCCTTTATTACCTTCATAAAGAGCTTTAATAGACCTGATGTAAGTGTATGGGAATGTTGTGTTTGTAAGCGTTATTTGTCATGTGTGTCGCGTGACTTCGTTTGTTGTCCCACTCAGTTTATTCTCTTTGAGTTTCTCCCGCTCTTCGTGGAAAGAAGATTGCCTACTTTTAAAGGTTACATGTGCCAAAGGTTGGTCGCATTGCCTCATTTAGCCATTCAATGATGCAGAGAGAATAAAGTATTAACACACTATGGACAAATGTTTCTTTGCAATGCAGTTTGGGTTTATAAAAAGAAATTAACCTACATCTACATTAGGGATATGACAAAAAATCACAGTCCTGGTGAAAAAAACGTGTACTTGGTTCCTCGTTTCGTTTGCCAATCCGGCTCGCTGATAAGAGCAAAATAGGCTGAAATACATAACCTCTGAACTATTAGTAAGCTAAAAAATAATGAGCTGAATTTTTAATATCCTTTGCTTTTGGGGAGGGGGTCCATTTTGAGAAAGTTATATATTGTTTCTGAGGAGCTAAATTTGATGAATTTATGATAAACTAGTAAAAAAGCTGTAAGTTCGGCCGGGCCGATTTTTGAATACCCTACACCATTTGGAACGATTTTGGCAAATTTTTAAAAATTAAAATCCGTTAAAAATGCTTTTAAAATCTTAAAAATACCGAATGTAGCTGATATATTAAGGTCTAAATAAAATAAATTTACCTCTATCTCCCATATATCTCTTTCTCCGATTTTAACTTTATTGTGTGGAAATAGAATAGGTCTCGGCACATATGACCGTATTCAGCCAGAAAGCAAGTACATCAACTTTGGTTAAAATGGGTTTAGACTACAATGATATTTGGATATCAGGTACCGCTTAAAATTTATATGTAGCTCCCATATATATTTCACACGGTTTTTATACTCTTCACCATAGTATGGTGGTATGGTATAATCAGCATAAAATTCTATGTCGATTTAGCGATGTCCGTCCGTCTGTCCGTCTATCCGTCTGTGGAAATCACTCTAGCTACCGAACGAAATGAAGTAGATTGATAAAATTTCAACATGTATATTATGCCTGCAGGACTTTTGGTATTGCAAATGGGCTATGTAGGTCCACGTTTTGGTATAGCCCCCATATATGGGTACCTCCCTATATTCGGTATTTTGATGATTTTAGCAACATTTTTCATCGGAATTGTTTCAAATTTGGTATTTGACTTTCGTAATTGATACTACAGCCTAAGACAGAAAATTGTCTGTGCAGGTCCACGTCTTCTTATATACCCCGTATAACGGTACCTCCCTATATTTGGTATTTTGATGATTTTAGCGACATTATTCATCGGAATTTTTTCAAATTTGGTGTTTGAAGTTCCTATTCGTACTGGAGTCTAAGGCAGGTCCACATTTTTGTATTGCCCAAATATAATAGTACCTCCCTATATTGATGATTTTAGCTACATTGATCTAGAGTAGATTTTGTTTCCATCAACTTAAAATTATAACTGCTCTAAAGCCATAACACGTATTTAAAAATGGTTAGGTTTACTGATGTAGGGCATCATATATATTTTCTTTATTGGTTTCTAATATTTATTTGCTTGCTTTCGCGTTGATTCGAACCTTAGATCAAATATATTCATATGGTGGTATAGTGAATATGGTTGTGAAGTGCATCATATTCTTTATGGGTTTATGTTCCTAATTTGTTAATGGCCATTCAAACACGAAAGTTAGAATAATTCCGGTTAATAATGCCGGTAAAATCATCTAAATACCGATTATAGGGAGATATAGGGTCTAATCCAAGACCTGGACCTCCATATGCAATTTTCTGTCGTAGGCTGTAATAAACATTAGAAAGTTCAATTTCGGAATTTTATACAATTTTGGTGAATAAGGTCGCTAAGGTCACCAAAATACCGAATATAGGGTGGTACTGTTATAAGGCGTGCACCTGTATGATCAATTTTATGTCATATGCAATTTTATGTCATTAGGAACTTCAAATTCTAAATGTGAAAATTTTTCGGTGAAAATTGTGACATCCAAACACCGAATATCTTGAGGTGCAGCTATGGGGAATATACCAAAACATAGGTAATTTACTGGCAATTTACAACAAGTTTGAGTTAAAATTGTGGCTAAAATGCCCATGAGACCATAAATCTGTTGGTACGGTTTATATGGGCTATGACAAAACGTGGAACAATGGATCCCATTGTCTATACCAAAAATCTTGCAAACATAACACATATATCTGAGAAAAATGCTATCAACCTACTTTATTTCGTTCAGAAGTAAGAGTGATTTCAACAGACGGCCTAGATGACATCGCCAAATCGACATAGGACATATGCTGATCAAGAATAAATGTACTTTGTGGGAACCAAAATTTATATTTCAAGGTGTTATAAACAGAATGCGAAATCATACCATATACCTTTCATGCTATGGTGGAGGGTATAGGAACTTATGTTGCCTCGTAAATTTTATAGCAAAAACTAATTATTTACTAACTTGTAATATAGGGGTGTATAGTTTTCATAATTTTTTTGCAACTGGCAATGCAAGGGGTATATAGATTACGAATTTAGTACAGAATTTCAAATTTACATGCTTTTGCCCAGCCCTAAGCTCTAACCTAATGCAAAATTCCGACACAGCTTGGCGAAATTGAAAGATCCATATCTAATATCCCATAACTAGGCCCAATATACCAAACCTAAAATACCCCCAAACTTAAAATACCTTCCTTGGATAATGTATCAAATTCTTCAAATAAGGAATATAGGAACGTACCATTATATAGGGGCTGTACTAATATAATTTTTCAATTATGTGCTGAAAAGCCGCATGGAAAAGCGTCAGCATAGACAGAATTCAAAACTTTTTTCATAAAGATGGGATGAAAAAAATGTTTACGGCTCTTTTGAATTCGACGACGAAGATTGCATTCTTTACCGGACTTACAAATGCTATTTAGAGGCTATGGGACGATTCAGTCTGAAGAATATCTCTACATTGACCAATATGTAAATACCGAGAATAGCAGCATAACAGTTGAAATCGAGAATACAGATAGCGAAATAGAACCTAAGACATTTCTACAAGTGAAGACTGGGTAGAGGTATTCCAGTAGTCGGCACTTTTTATTTTTAAGCCCAAATAAATCAAACTTTTATAACTAAATGTATTTTGTTTACTTCAAATATATTATCAGCTATCTTTGCGTACAATTTCGTACAAGAAAAGATGATTTATTCCAATAAAAATTAAATTTTTGTCTGTGAAGGTCCCCAACAATCCATATTTTTAAGAAAAGTACAATAAAGACGTCGAATCCGTTTAACTAAACAAAAAGACTATATTTTAATGATTTAATTTATTATTATTATTATTAGTAATTATTCTTACAAAAAAGTTGGTATGCCGACTGTTGAAACATGCCGTACCGACAATTGGCAAGTGGTGCCGACTACTGGCAAAAAAGCATTGTTTTAATAAAACTACAAATTTATGAAATTTAATAAAAAGTTATTAAAACTTTATTTATTATTGCAAAAACTATACAAAATTTCAAATCTGAATAAATTAACTGTTTAATAATTGAAAAGTTCCACTCAGAATGGTGAGCGATTAAAAAAGTGAAAATCCTAAAAGTGCCGACTACTGGTACACTTACCATACCACAATAATTTAAGAATATTTGTGCAGATTGATTTCAATGCGTTTCACTATTTAAATCAACAAGAAAGTCATTACCAAAAACTTGCGTCAAAAGTTCTTTAAAAATATATGAACATATCGTAATCTTCATATTTTTACCCGAAACTACACCGTGGTACAGGGTATTATGTCTTTCTGCATTTTTTTGTAACATGGACATTGAAGAGAGATAATTCCTTTTGATGACATTCATTGAATCACATTCCGAATTGACTTCTGCATGTCTGTCCGTTTGTCCATGTATTTTTGTAAACAAAGTAAATTTTGCAAAAATCATTTGTTTGGCCCAAGGATGAATGGTATTGAAAACGGTGGTAAACTGATCAGATTTTGATATAGCTCCCACATGTAGTGTCGTCGAAATTTTATAACCAAATGCGTAACACCAGGCCAAATCAAATGAATTTTAGCACATACTGCCAGGTTCAGTCCAGAAGTGTGTCTGATAATTTTCGGTTCAGATATAGCTAAAATATATTTTTTCGTCTGATTTGCGACTTAAGTCCAACATTCACAATATGCAACCCACAAATGTGATATTAAGTGTCAGATCCAGCTCAGAAATACCTCTGCAAAATTTTATTGAGATCGGCTCAGATTTGTATATATCTCCCATATATATCTTTTACCAATTTGACGTTTATTGTTCACCAAATAGTTAATATCAGTCCAAATAGAATAGATTTTGACACATATGACCTAATTCAGCCAAGAAGCGAAAGTTTAATATGCACTCTACAAGAATAATATTTGGTACCAGATAACTAATGGAGGTCAAAAATACCTATGCCAAATGTTTTCGAGATCGGTTCAGATTTAGATATAGCTCCGATATTGGTTCGATTCGAATTATATTGTTCGCTAAATGTGTTATATTAGCCCAAATAGAATGAATTTTGACAGAGAATACCAAATTTAAATTAAATTTATTTAAGTGTGTTAAATTTCTCTGCTATATATATTAACCGATTTTATATCTAACAAGTAACAATTATTTCCGGTAAAAGATATTGGATTAAGGTATTCCGAAAGTCATAACATGCACTCCATAGCAACGATTTTTAGTTTGAGAGGTCACACAACAA